AGTATTGTTAACTGCTGAGTTACCTCTCCAACCCTAGAGGGACTCTTTTTGAAAAAAAGTAACTGAGGGTCCCATTGATGTCAAACATTCTTCCCTTTCCTGCTTGTCCTATGGGATGTGGTTCGTTGTAGCTTTACCCTTATGCTATTCAGGGTAGCATTGAAATCACCCCTGTAGCAGGTGCAACAAGCTCCACCATGGCTTAGAATTTCCACAATCCACCAAGAGTTTGCATTCAGAACAAGAATAACAACAGAAGTAAGGATGTCTTCTCTCTTTCCTTGTATCAGACATGAGCAGCGATTCAAATAGAAAAGGCTAACATTTTCATTGTTTCCAAATGTACTGTGATTCCAATAGAATGAAGTACTCTACCACCAGATCATCTTGCCCTAAATTATTCCTATGTTCTGTTGATTACTGTTCTTAATATGTCCAAGAGCTGCTGATAACGTGGTCCCAGAACCCTAAGCTTAGACCCTAGTTCCATATTACCAGCTGTCAGACCTACTTTATGGTTAGAAAAGACCCACTTCTAGCCTAAAGTACACATGCTAGACTCAGATGACCCAGATCACTACTGTCCTGCTTCCTCAGGTCATTTTTCTCAGATGCTGCATCTACTTATTTAGAAAAGGATTGATCATAATTTCTAAAGGATCACTTCACAGTGGGCTATCTGATTGCCTGTGGACTCCTGGTCTGGTCTGATCCATTTCCTGCTTAACCTTGAACACACATATTTCCCATTCACTGATGATTTTTGTTAACTCTACAAAGTGCCAGGCAGGATGGTAAGTGCAGGGGGTACCAGAGTAGCCTCATTTTGGGCTCTCTGGATCACAGCATCTCTACACGCCACACCTGTCCATTCCAGATCTCAGTGAACTGGCCCCTTTCCTAATGAACACACCTGAAACTATGTCTGCTCTGGAGTCCCAACCTGCACATCTTCAGGATGTCTGAAATTTTCTTACCTCTACATCTGATCACCAATCTCTCTGAGTTCTCTGAAGATCTAAGAAAGGAATCATGGTATCTACAAACTAGCCTTTGTCAAAGCCTATTTGCAGGCACTCTTGGAAGCATCAATGAGCCACAGGAGGAAAAGGTGGCTGCCATCCAGTCCGTTGTAAGAAGAGAAGAAATTGCTCCTCTGCTTTGATGCAGGCATGTTTGTTTCTTCAATCTAAATGTGTAACAGGAAATTTGGCAGTTCACCTTTGCAAATCATTTGCATACAACTTATGTATGAGCCAGATGGCGCCTCCTTGTTTTAAGAAATTAAAAATGAAAAGGGAAAATGTGAGAAGGAATTTATCTTTGCCTCTTCTCCTGACCTTCTGTGTACACACTAGAATCTTTACAGAACAAAGCCAGTCCAGGATGATGGACACATACAATCACACAGACATGCCCGTGAATGAGCACTGGAGCGCGCGCAGACACAGACACAGACACAGACACAGACACAGACACAGACACAGACACAGACACAGACACACACACACACACACACACACACACACACCTAAATTATCTGTGTTTATCTACATTAAAAAGTAAGTTGAGTAGTAAGCAACTTCTTAGTCCTAGTAATCAAGTATAGTAGAACAGCACAAATTTGACCCTGGTTACAGAGAGCATCCTTCATGGTATTCTGTCTATCTGATAAATCACTACATTCCCTGGGGCCGTAGGCAGTGTATACTGAAAAAGAAGGTCTTACATAAATCTCTCAAACACAGACATAGCTCTATGATTTGGAAGCAAGAGCATACAAATGCTGGCCAGAAGAAGGGCAATGCCGATGACCCGCAATTTCTACGGCAGTTGAAACCTCGGAAAGGAATTTTCCTTGAGGTGATTGTCTTAATCCTACTCCCTTGGGGCAGCTCTATGAGCCTAGTTTATTTTCCAGTGGTCAGGAGTTCGTCTTTCTGATCCAAGAATCCCATCTGGGAATGAGACTATCTCCACAGCGTTCTTGTTTTGGGTGTGAGGAGTGCTGAGGAGACAGTAGAAGCAATAGTTTGTCTACTAAGTATTGCATTACAGGCTCTTCACACAAACTAACTTGCCTAACATAAACATACCTCCACTGAGTAAATATTTTTGTCCTAATTTTCAAAATAAGAATATTGAACAGAGGCAGTGAGCACATGGTGCTGATGTAGCTAAACATTAGAGAGTGAATGTAGCTGACACTAGCTCCAAATCCAACAATTCTTTAGTAACACCAATGTCTTCCAAAGGGGACAAAACTTTAGGGACATTTTTGTGACCTCAGGCATACACACACCTGTCTTTCATTTTTCAAAAGATTTGGGGTGGGGTGTAAGAATACATCAAGGCATTGTGAGTAAACATGTATAGAGAAAGAACCAATCTGATCTTTGAGTATGGCCACTGCAGATTTACACACAAGCAGTGCTGAACTTTCACTCAAAGCTATTCTTCCCTATTTCATACTTCTTTGGAACCAAAGACACACATTTTCAAGTCACCTAGCCTCAGCTAACAGTCTGATTTGGAGCTCACGAAGAGAGAAATCAAGATACCTGGACGGTAGGCAGTTTCCAATGACCTTATTTCCTTAAATCTGTCCTGCTCCCCCAAAGAAATGAGATGGGTTTACTCCTTGATGCTTTGCAAGGACTAAGAGTAAAGCTAATGACTCTTAAAGCAAGAGTTAACGGGTGCCATTTGGATAGTGATCTTTTTATGTTTTTTTAACCTTTAAACTGGGGAAGAAATATTAAATGCCACCCAAGAAGCCAGTTTCAAAGCTCAGCTTGTATATTCTCATCTGATATGGTTTCCCAAGACTGGTAGAGTTCATAGAGACCAATAAATTATAATTAAACATTTTCCTTGCACAGAACAAAAAAAAATCAGTAAACCATCCTTTACTTTGATGTGCACCACTGTAGATCTGAATTTAGCCAGACAAGGCAGAAAACACCATTATATAGAGCAGAAGGCAATTAAATGACTTCAACTAGGCTCTGTGACCCATGCTCCTGCTTAGTAACCATATCTAGGCATTGGATGCACCTGGTGGAGATAAGGGTCCAGATACTGAAGACTATGCTGTAGCACATCCCAACAGGTATTATCTGTGTGTATGCTACACCATGTTCCCTTTTCTATATCTGGGGATACTTGGTAGGGTGGGTGTGCAGGTAAGCTTGCTTGGGACACTCTGTTTACTCCAGCTTTCATTTATTTTGCCTCCTGTGTGCTCATGATAGTACATCATTTGCCATCCTTTGATTGAACCATGCAAGACACTCTGCAGTTACAAAGGGCATTTCTAAAACATCTTACTTTCTTCTGCATTGTTACTAGAGTGAAGTTCCTTGGGTAATCAGTATCCATACCTGAGTGCTCAATCATGCTTCACAAAGTCACCAGGAGCTTCCAAATAAATCTAACAAGTACATATGCATTTGCTAGGCCCAAATTTCAGCCTCCTGATTTACAAAGCTCAGGGAACATGACCATCATACTTCACAATGTGATAATTTGTTTCCTACCGTGACTAGACAATTGGTATTCATTCTCCTGCTAAGAATTGAATGTTTATGTTTCCTTAGTCCCCAAGCTAAAACAACATTTGGCTCATAGAAGAAAAATGGGCAGATAATGATATTAGAAGAAAGACTGTAAGTAGAATTTTTTAGAGGTCATTACATCATTAGTCTTCATTAGATTTAGTGATCTCACAGAAGGGACCTGAGCGAGACCCTTTGCCTTTTCTACCATAGGAGAACACAAGAAGAAGACTACTTATGAACCATGGAGGCAGCCTTCCCCAGACATGAAAACTGCCTGAGCCTCTGGAACTTCGAGAACTATTCTAGCATTATCATAAACTTCATGGTTTGTGGTATTTTGTTCAAGTGTCACAGATGAGGACCTTCTCTGCTCTACAATATTTTCCTTCTGTCTTCTATACCACAAATCTAAACTTCTCCCTTAGTCAAAATGCCCAAAGTCTTCCATATTTTAACATTTTTTTTCCTTCTTGATTTCCTTCTGATACAAGGTATCTCTGTGTAGACTGGTCTTAAAATCTAGATCCATCAGTTTCAAACTCCCAACTCTGGAGATTTTATGTAAGTGCCACTATAGGCAAAATAAATCTTCCTTATTGCAGAAGGAGGTGTGTTCCAATCAGTTCGCAGACATGACCCCATCTTCGGGCATGATATTATATCCGTTTCTCTTTCTAGGAAAAGTGACATTCATGGCCACTCACCTTTTGCCTGGCTGTAATCATCATAATATAGAAACACTCAATGTTCTGTGATGCGGAGATTCCTCACAAATGAAAATAAGATGTTGTAGTAAGAAATACATAACTGTATGGAAATGAAACTTCCTCACAATCAGCTTTTCTCCAGGGTCATGTTTTTTCCATAGCCAGAAATTGACAATATGCTTTATATTCTTATTTTCCCAAAGCCAGTAGGATTGTGTTTAGTAGTGTACTAATCACTTCTAGTTTACTTTGGGTTCCACTTTCCAGAAAGATCTACCTTTGGAAACAAGATCACCCTCACATAATCATGAGATAATTTCAGATAATAAAACATGTTGTGAGTGAGGCTAGAGCCGGGGAAGGGTTGGAATATTGACAGAGCACCAAGTAAGACTGTCTGAGAGTGCATTTGAACATATAGCTATAGGTAGGTATTCAACTCTGTTTGCATAAAGAATGAAGAGAGATTCAGTACGAACATAATGTGCAGGTTATTGCAATGTATAGACAGAGTCCAGCCTAATGTCAAGGTGGAAGGAAGAATGGCCTGCATGATAATAATAAGCTGATATGCCAAGATGCAGGAGTGGGCTGAAAAATAACTGTTGAGTGTGTATGTGAGCATGCGTGTGCATACATGTGCACCATAGTGACAGAGTTAATGGACAATGACAGACATGTAAGCAAGGTACTAGCTCGAAACTGAGACCAGCAGCTGGGAAAGTCTCCTTACCCTGTAGTAATCAGTACTGTAGACGTCCCTGGACATGCCGAAATCACCAATCTTCACCAGTAGGTTGGCTCCAACCAAGCAATTTCTAGTAGCCAGGTCCCGGTGCACGAAGTGCTGGGAGGCCAGGTACACCATGCCCGAGGCTATCTGACTGGCGATGTGGAGCATCTGAGAGAGCCCTAGCTCCCCTTTGGCCTGGCGTGGCTGCCCATCCACGAGGATCATCGCATCTGGCCCATGGGCCCTGCAAGAAGTGGGGAAGGAAAATGGAGCAGAGAGAACTCAACAGATCAAAGGCAAAGTCTTGGTGGTTTTCAGTGCACTGGAACATCCTGCAGAAGTGAAGGGAATCCTCTTTCCGGCTACCTGTGCCTGCTTCTCACTACCCAAATTATATCAAGTGAGTATGACTATGGGTGAAACTACAATATCCCCACTAAGATAACCAGGCCTACTCAAATGGGCCAGGGAACAAACCCTCCCTTTCACTGACTACCACCTAGGTTCTTCCCAGGTGTTAGGTGATTGGAATAATTAATAAAGTGATCATTGATCCTTACTATGTGTATATGCCAAGTGCTTTTTCTGATAGCTTTAAATGCATTCATTTAATCTCCCTACCTTGATTTTTTTAAAGTTGAGGCATAAAATGATTAGAAAGATCAACCAAAGTCCTAGATATTTCAGAATAGCTATACGGTAGTCAGGAGACAAACTATGAATTATTATTGTATATGACTACAAGGGAGAGTCTTGCAGAAGCTGCCAACAGGGGTATCAAGAAGGGGTATTAAAAAGATCCTAAGGGCTCACCTCTTGAGGTTATGATTGGTTATGCAGTGTTCCTTCATTTGCTTTTCTGACAAGCTCCTGGTGCCCATGCTGCTGACTGGCAGACCACAACTCCCAGCTGTAGGTGGTATAAGGTGCGCTCCATATGCCTAACTACCCCACGTCACCAAAAGCAAGCAGGGTGAAGAAACCCTCTGACTCCTTGGGAGCCCAACACTCCCTCCATGCTAAATTCAAGCCTGTATGGGTTATGATAACATCCTGCCCTGTTGGATCGGTCACTTTTAGTGTTCACTGTTTCCTGAAGAAAGCCCAATGAGCCATAACCACACCCCGGGGCCCTTATTTATGAAGTAGAGGACCAACGAGCTCTGGTGTACATCAAGGCCCCAGCCTGCTTTACTGCTTCTCCAATTTCCACTGAAAAGCATCATTAAATAGGAACATATCCGTTTATTATCTTGGGTGGACTTTAGCTCCCTCCTTCCTCAGCAAAGCAGCTGCATCAGCTAGCCAGGGATGCATCAGGAGGCCAGTTCCCACTCCAGTATACCAGGATACATGCCTACCAGTCCCAAACTGCAGCAACCAGGAGATATGCTAGCAGGCAGAAATGACCCTCGGGGTCAAGACACAGTTTCTTGCCATGTGTATCTGCTTCAACTCAAATATAAAATCATTCCAGAGACTCGTGTGTCTGAATATTTGATATCTGCTGATGGAGCTTTTCTAGGAGGTAAGGAACCCCTGAGAAGCAAACCTTTGGTAGAGGAGGTAGATCACTGGGGTGGGGATACCCCACAAGTAATAATCCAAACTCCTTCTGGTCCAAACTCTCTTACTCCTGACTGCAGACATGATATGACCTCAGGTGGCAGCACCATGTCTTCCGCTGTGACAAACTGCATCCCTTCAAACAGTGAGTCAAAATCAATCCTCCTGTCCTTAAGTGGCCTCTTGTCAAGTAATCAGTTACAATGATAAGAAATTGTTACTTCTGTTTTGTGTTTTCTTTTCTTATAACTTTGTCTTTCTCCTGCGCTAGTCTTTACTCCTGCTTCTCCCCCTTTCTCTCTCCTCTGCATCGTATTTGTCATCTTTCCTCGGTGTAAAGAGACACACGGGAGCTGGGAGCTTTGTTGAGCCCTTCTCTGGAGGATGTGTTAGGGTGTAAAATAGGGAAGAGGAGTGGAAATACAAGGTAAGGGAGATTCTGCATACCGAGATAGGGTATGATCTAGACATACTTGGTTCATAGCTTGTGCAATAATAGTAGTAGTGACTTTTACAATAGCCACCACTGGTTCAGTACCTAGCTGCATGCAAAATGCATCCCAGGCATTATATACACATCGCCATGCAATGCTTCTAGCAATAACTCCAGGAAGCAATCATAACTTGATTCATTTATAATTAAGGTAAACTCCCATTTCTCTTATGTTAAGGACTGAGTTTTCCAGGAATTGACTTAATTATGAATTCAAGTTCCAGAGACTTAGAGAATACAGTGAGTTTTCTCAGTATCTCCAGGGAGGTTACTTGGAAACGTGACTCATAAGGAGAGATTTAAAGACTCTTGCTAATTCTGACTCTTCCCTTACCCTTTTCAAAGTTTGAATGCTGACAAGTAGAATTTACCTGAATAAAAAATACCCTATATTTATGAATTTGCCTCTGAGTTTTGGTGACTTTTATAATTTAATAGCTTCACATTCATCATCAAAAAGTCTCTGGGCTGAGAAAGTTTAAGGCAAGTGAGATACTTAAGATATTAGCCACATTGGGTTAAGAGAAGAGGTAACCCTCAAACTAGGGCTGTGAGTCTCAACCTGAGATCCTCACAGGATATATCCCAGGCCTTATTCTTCTTCCCCATCCATCTGGGAGGCAAGAAGAAAAGTACAGATGTCTCACCATGGGCACAAAAACCTAAGTCCAGCTGGAAAGGAGACAACACGTAAGAATGAAAGGGTTATGTCTGGGGATATAGCTCTGCTAGTCAAGTACTTGCCTAGCATACATCCAGCTCCAGGTTACATCCTCAGCACCACATAAACTAGCCATAGGAATGCACACGTGAAAACCCAGAACATAGTAGGATGGACGGATAGATGGATAGGTTAGAGAGAGAGAGATGGTAGAGATAGACAGATAGATGATAGATAGATAGATAAGATAGATATATATATAGATAGATGATGGATAGAGATAGATGATAGATCTAGAAGATATAGATAGATAGACAGATAGATAGGTATGGATGGATAAATAGATAGATGATAGATAAGATGGAAGAAGAAAGAAGGAATAAAAGGACAATGCTTTCCATTTGTTATACTCAGGCTTGAGTTCACAGTGGCAAGTATGACTTCTGACCACAGAGAAAACCCCAAAGGATCAGTGGGAATATGGGGGGCATATGTTGTCCATTCTTGCTTACCTGAGGAATTTGTTAAGGTCTCCATGCTTCATGTATTCAAAGACCATGATGAGTGGGTCCCCATCACCGCACACTCCATAGAACTTGACAATATGTTCATGCTGCAGATTAGTGAGCAGCTCAGCCTCCCTCTGGAAATCCTTTCTGGCAGCCAAGGTGGGATCTTTCAGGGCCTGAGAACCAGACAACATCAGATTTTAGCAACCAGGGGGCAGAGAGCTGTCTTCTCCAGCTGGTGAAGCCTGCTACCACATCCTTCTGGATCCACACTGAATATGATCTATTTTAAAACATAAAGGCAAAGCACACCCCTGAAGCCCTTTTTCATTCAGCATTTTTGATTCCTAACAAAGGAGAGCCCACACCCCAGGTTCTGGCCGGTGACTTCAACCTATGCTTATTGTCCATCCACAATCTTCCTGCAGTATGAATGACAGGGAACAAAGATAAGAGATGGAAGACCCTGTTCATAAATCTCTCTTTACAGAATAAGTCCCTCTGATACAGCACCACCCCAATTGCTTTATCTTTGTAAATATCTGCATACTGCAAAAGTCAGGTAATATCATGATGTCATCCTTTGGAGTCCTTGTGTCTTAATGGTGAAAGAGGCTATATGGACAGAGGAGAATGAACACTTGGCTAGTCACTGTTTTCCTCAACCAAAGTGTTAGCATTAGTTATAGGGGAAAGGTAGGGCTTCAGTGGACAGATGGAAGCCTTCGATGCACAAAGGACAGGGAAAAGAGTTGCCAAATCTCAGCACAGGAAGAGGTGGTGGGCCAATGGAGGCCACTCTACCAAGATGCTATGATTCTGCCCTATACGGATTGCAGGACCAAGTGTGACCCAGAGAGAAGCACAGATCTCCCATTTCTTATTCTATGAAGACAAATACAGCAAAAAAGAGTATACAACACCAAGGTATGGCTTTCAGCATCACAAGGGGAGTGTGATACCAAACTAAACATGCCTAGTGCATACAAGAGACAGTGAAGAGAGCACTACTGCGTTAGTTCATTTCAGTTGTCAACTTGACACACCCAGGAAGAGAGGGACCTCAAGAGAGGAATTGTATCTATCAGATTGGCCTGTTGTTGTGTCTGTATGGAATTTTATTAATTATTGATTGATATCAGAGGGTCCAGACCACTGTAGGTGGTGCCATGCCTGGGCATCAGGTCTTATAAGGAAAATAACTGCTTATGAGCTTAGGAAACCAGTGAGTAGCATGGTCACTGCTTCAAGCTGCTTCTTTGGTTGAGTTCTTGCCCTGGCTTCCATGGGGGAAGATGAAATAAAACCTTTCCTCTACACATTGCTTCTGGTCATAGTGCATATTATCACAGCCACAAAAAACAATCTAGAACAGCCATCCTGAGGATGGGCAATGTTGTCCAAGACGAAGGATGACAATATAAATCTCTATGTTAGAAGAGAAACCTATGATGGTGTGCCTACACATTTCTGAACCTTAAGGTTATAAGGCAGATGTACAAGGTAATGATCACTTTGTAATCAAGAAGTAAGGATAGAACCAGCCAGCTGAACTCAGGTCACAGAGACTCTTAAGTGACTAGAGACTGGCTTGCATGTTTGGCCTTTTCTCATGATTCAGACAAAATGGCCTGCCATGAAAGTGTTGCAAGGCCTCCCTAACCAGAGATATTCCTTCATCTGCTGAAACCCCAAAGTCGAAATTTGCCAATTGTTTTGGATTCAAATATGTACAAAGTATACCCCTCCAACTTCTCAGTAACCACCAGACATCAGGGATGATGGGTGCTGAAAGGCTATGCACCACTTTAGTTCCCCACTGCACATTTCTGTAGCTGGAGAAACTGAGGCTGAGCCTGTGTGAGACCCTGACCACATTCACCCAGTCTAAATTACGGGCAGCATAGTGGACCTGAGCAATACTTTGCTGAGATTCACAATACCCCAGACTTCATTAGCAATGTCTCCAGGGCCATGAAAACAAGTGTGGCCTTTCCAGCATCACCTTCCCTTGTTTGGAAAATTTAAAAGAATTCACCAGAAACAGTTTTCAATTAACTGGCCCAATGACAAAAATACTGAAAGTTCCTTTTATCAGACCTAATTATAATTTACCAGACCTAATGCTTTCTTTGGACTGAGTTTTATGTTATGTAGCCAAGAATGACCCTGACTCCCTACTTCCCCCTCAGAAGTCCTAAGATTACAGCCACGTTCCACCACATTTGGTTTTATGCACTGCTGAGGGTCGAACCCAAGGCACTGTGCATGCTATGCAAGACTCCTGCCAGCCGAGCTATAGCTCCTGCTCCCAACACCTATAATTTAATGTGATGATCGCTTCAGCTCTGGGGGGATACCAATGAATAAAGGAGTATCTGTAATGGCCACCTGATACCAGAACAAAGGCACACCAGCCAAAATGTCATGGGGAAAATAACATCTCATGACCCACCTCTCTGCCACAGCCATGAGCTACAAGAGGTAAAACATGGACACAAGATGACTGAGTGTGACTCATTTGTTTTCATGAGGAAGAAGGGGGAAAAAACAGAGGAACCCAGCACGGGTGGGATCGGAGAGTGTGAGGATTTATGTGAACACTGGATTTATGGGAGAGAAAAGTAGATCAGATTTGGGGGCAGCCAAATGGCCTCTCTCCATCTCTTTAAATCATTCTCTCCCACAGCTCCGACATCAGTGGCAGCCATGGGATATTTGTGCTCTCAGCCCTTGAGCAGTAGCAGCCAGGGTCTGTCCCTCAGGCTGGCACCCTGAACTACAAGGCAGACAGAGTTCTTCCTGAGAGATTGAGTACAGTGCAGCCGCTGTCTCCAAGCCTTCCACATCCTTCCCCTCTCCCTTCACACCGGGTTTTCCAGCTGGTGGGTCAAACCTGAAGTTCCTATGTGGTGTAGCTACTGGGGGCCAGAGCTGTCAGTGGCCACAGTCCCCAGGGATTAATGCAATTGGGACAGAGATGACAGGAGAATAATGGGGAGGGAAACTGGGCCAAAAGCTATCTGGCCCTACTCATAGGATTCTATATCCAAAATTTCCTTTGTTGCTGGGCAACTGCAAAATGGGTCACCACGAAATGGCATGGGACAGAGTTGATGCTTATCATAGCCACCAACTGTTGGCACAGGGAAGACTGTCTTGCCATGGAGCCTGAAGTTGGGGACATTCCTGGCTGGGCGCTTTGTACAGTAGCATAGACAATGAGAACTGCAAACTAATCCCTTGTCTTCTTTTTCCTTCAAAATGTAGGGGATATTTCCCTTCTGGTCTTGACTTCCACATGCACCAGTTCCTATTAGAACTCCAACCCTGAGCAAGGATTTTAGCTGGACTGTTCCCTAGGACAGGGTGAGGCAGGAACAGATGTGCTCTGCAGCCCAGAGACTTGCCAGACAGCTGCCATCTTCATGTTGTTCACCTGCTGCCTCCCATTTGCTTTTTCTCTGGTGTAAAGAAGATACTTCATGGATCATTGAGATTTCATTAATATCTCGAAACCTATTTTACCATGCACACTGGAATACACACACTCCTGGGTGTCCAAGCATACACTCACATGCATACACACACAACCAACCTGTTTTAATTGTGCAAATCATTTTACTTTTGTTTCTCAAAATTTGTTGTCACCTCCCCTTGTTGAAATTCACAGAGACAGGGGACTAAGAAGGGTGGTCAGCACATAAGCAGATGCACCTTTATCATATGTCATCATTTCCCATTGTCTTCAGCATGAAATCCCAACTTTGTGACAGTCACAGACTGAAGATGTCAGCTAGACCCATCTCATTCCACGCCCTCTCCTCAGCTCCACGTGCCCCTCATTTAGTGATCCAATCTCACTGGCCTTGCTGTACCTTTGAGCCTTTGTCTGCCTCAGGACCTTCTCACTTGATGTTCTTTTGGTCATACAGACTTCCAACAGAGATATAGAAATATAATTAGACAGTTGACTGGTACTGTCCATCAACTCTGCAGAGCATACTGGCTGATGCCATGGAACCCTGAACCCTCAACTCTCATCACCTATAGAGATATTTACATTTCCAAATGGAGTTTACTCTAGGAACTCACTGTGATTATACATAGATTGATTCATGAGAGTTAAACTTGATCACATGATCACTTAATGTAATGAAACATCATAAAGAAGGAAAACAAAGATGAGTGGGAAGCAGGCAGTTTCCGTAGACCACAAGATAAATCTATTGCAAGGATGTACTAAAGGTAAATGACTTAACAACAGCAGTAGAAGAAAATTCATCTGAAAAATTTAGAAAACAGTAAACAGCTGAGACTTTAAAAGCCCCTGCTAACTATGGAAGGAAGAGTAGCAGCAAGACCATGAAGAATTAAGGTCTAGCTCTACCAGCAATTTACCACATGTCCTGTGGCTGCCTGATAATGTCAAGACTATTGCAAATATTATCTAAAATGAAATACAAGTCAATTCTAAACAAAATAGTTAAACATTAGTGGACCATGAGGAATTAAGGTCCACGCTCTACTAGGAGCAATAGGCAATGTCAGAGGGAATTTTTTTTTTGTTACAGTGGGAGCTGACATCTACTGAACAGAAACCAAAATAGTCTGCTAAGCAGTATACAAGGAAATCAAGAGCTCTTACCAACATCGAATTATCCCACTCTATCAATAGAACCGAAGTTGAGACATCCTATGTTAACCTTTGTAAATGACAAATAAAAATGCATTAACCCCCTACCCAGCAAATCCCTGAGAGTCTGTCCTCAGAATGTTTCACAAATGCATTCTGTTCTTGCTCCAATTTGAATCACTATAACTTAAAGTCATGAGCACTCCACACAGATCAAAACAACCCTCCAATCCCAGAGAAATCTAAATGCTGAAGCTCAGATGTATTCAAAGTAATATCATGTTAAATCCAAGTTGTGGAAACTGTCAAAACAAGAACTCGAATTCCTGCAGACCAGGCCCATATTTATTTTGAAATAAGGACATTCTCCAAGAAAATGAAGAAATAATTGCTTCTTATGAGAACAACAATATGTAAACCAGCAGGATAGCTCAGAGGGAAAGGGTACTTGTCACCAAGCCTGAAGATTTGGGTTGAGGCCCCTGGACTCAGGTGGTAGAAGAGAATGAACTCCTGAAAGCTGTCCTCCAACTTTCACAGATTCTGCTCTGTGCCTACAGACAGCACACAGACACACAAAACAGAGTGTATGATCAGTCTACATGTATGTCAGGCATGGTGATACATGCCTATAACACTAGCACTCAGGAGGCAGAGGTAGGAGGATCACCACAAGTCTGAGGTCAGGATAGGCTATCTAGAAGATTCCAAGTCACCCAGGGATACATAGTAGAATCCCATCTCAAAAGGAAAAAAGAAAAAGGAAAGAAACCTCCATTATAGACAATAAAAACAAAGATAAATATGACAGAAGCTAAAGGAATGAAAATTAAGTAACTATTAGATATCTTGGAAATAAATCACATGGTCACTAAAATTTTTTTAAAAAGCTACAGAGACAGAAAACTTCAAACAGTACAGGAATACATCATGTACTGGAAGAACATTAAGGATCACTAGGGACAGAACACAGAATGATACAGAGAGAAAATTATATTTATGTATATGTATACATACATATTATATATGTCTGTCTATCTATCTATCTTCTATCTATCTCCAGCAGAATTTCAATATGTAGCCCAGGCTAGAATCAAACTCCTAATACCTCCTAAATCAGCCTCTTGAGTACTGGGATTACAGGCCTGTGCTAGCACAAATGGCTCTGTCTTAAGATATTTGCTGCTTATGATGGGTATTGAGACGTTGTCACCCTGAGTGCCTAGGAGCACATGGTGTTTAATGTCTTGCTTATACACTATGCTCTGTCTTGTCCAGTCTTCCGTTTGTTCTGCAGGTGTTTGCCTTGGCTCCCCTCCAGGCTGCAAGCACCTTAAAAACTGACTGTGCTTGCCACACCTTTGTTTATATATCAACTGCCGGGAAAAACATACGCACCAACAGATGAAAACCCACACCCAGTTTTGAGAAAATGTAGTCTTGGTCTATGCTTGCCAGTGTACTCCAGTACAGAACTGTCCTGCATCAATAAGAGAAGAGTCAAGAGGAAGACTTGCAAAAGGCTCAGCCCACAGAAAGGACAGAGAGCAGAGAAGTCCCATTCCTGGGTGATCTTGGAGAACACAAGACTCTTCTGAGGACTGCAGGCTGGGCTAGGCAGCCCCATAGCTTGATAAATGGTGTCAAATTACAGAGCACCTGTGAGCCTCCCAGACCAGTGGGGAGAAAGAGACCCTTTGGAAAGGATGCAACCAGAAACACATTGTTTCTGCCTCATGCATTCTGGCAAGTGCCTCTCTCTCTCTGCCAGACTCCACAGACCTGACTGAGACCCATGGTCCTCAGTCCCTGTTTTATCTCCTGTGGAAAATTCTCAAGTCAGTTCCTTTGCAGACACCGGGACGGCCAGTAGATGAGTGTCATTCTACTCATTAAACAGAACAGCATGGCAGACACAAAGGTTAAGGACAAAATTAGAAACCTTTCCGTAAGCCTTGTCCAAGACACTCAGGCTCATTCCAAGAATGTACAGTAACAATGATCAATTGCCCTTTATGGAGCAATATTCTAGGTACTTATTTTCAAAACAGGGGGATGGGAATATGAAGGACCTAGATGGCTGTGTTGGGAGAGAAACAGGGAGGAGAGAAATGAAAGAGATATCTTGATAGCTAATAGGGTTAGGGAGAAAACTGGTGCTAGAGAAATTTCTAGGAGTTCACAAAGATGACTCCAGCTAAAACTCCTAGCAATCGTGGAGAGGGTGCCTGAACTGGTCTAATCAGATTAGTGACTCCCCTTACTGTCATCATAGAACATTCATTCAGTAACTGGTGGAAGCAGACACAGTGACCCACAGTCAAGCACTGTGCTGAGACCCTGGAGTTCAGTTGAAGAGAATGAGGAGGAATCATATGAACAAGGGGTGGTCAAGACCATGATGGAGGAAACCACAGGGTCAGCTGACCCAAGCCAGTGGGAGCTCACAGACTATGGACTGACAGCTGGGGAACCTGCATGGGATCAAACTCGGTGCTCTGAATGTGGGTGACAGTTATGTGGTTTAATCTGTTTGGGGTGGCTCATAGTGGGACCAGGACCTATCCTGGATGCATGCACTGGCTTTTTAGAGTCCATTTCCTAAGATGGGATACCTTGCCCAGTCTTAAAATGGGCAGGGCTTGGTCCTGCCTCAATGTGGTATACCAGACTTTGTTGACTCCCCAAGGAAGGCCTTACCCCTCTGATGAGTGGATGACAGGGGTGAAAAAGGGGAAAGGCAGGGGAAGGAAGAAGAGGAGGGAGGGGGAACTGGGTTTAGAATCTAAAATGAAAAAAAAAATAAAATCCGTGAAAAAACCCAGAGATCAGCTATCTATGCCTATTTATGCAAAAAAAAAAATCTGTCTTGGAAAACAGCTACTCAGGCTAGTTCACGTGATATCTGTGCTGCTTTCTTACTACACAGGCAGGTTTGAGACATGTAATAGTACACAGCCCTCAACACTTAAATATTTAGACTTAGTCTCTGGTCCTTTAAAGAAAAAAAATTGGCAAGCTTTATAGTAAATTAAAGCTCCATGGGTTGTGTATGATGTGTCTAAATATATCAGGGTTGTCAGCATCAGGAATAAATGTAGTTATTAAAAACAATTACTGCTCCTTATTGAGTATTTACTTAGTCATCAACATTTTGAGGAGATATTGCTACTCCTATCATTCAGAGTAGAAAACTAAAGCTCAACTTAAGTTCCACCCAAGGTCAGGCAGTTGATCAGGGAAGGATTTGGGATTTGTATCCAAGCTCTTTCTCTCTCTGACGCCCATGCCAGGTGGTGTCCTGAACTACACTGTATCTGTCAGATAGTTCACCATCTGTGGGCAGAGACAAATGGATACCAATGATTGGAGACACAGAGACCCAAAAGTCAAAGAAACAAAAATTGCCTTCATGATGGAGTTTCCATCAGGCTATTCAGTACTAGAGATGGGGTCCTAATGAGTGTCCTCCTCAGTGGCTGTGTCTCTCCTTTCCATCGCCATGGCCATGTATCATTTCAGAACATCATGCAGTCACCACAATGGCCCCAGAACATGTTGGGTGCATGAAAGGAGGCTTCTCTATTCTCCTGACTCTATAGTGTTGTTCCAGGCCTCAGTGAGTCCATCTGACAATTGTTCCATGAACATGTCAAGACCTGTACAGCATGAATCTGCAGAGAGAAGGCCTTCTGCTGAACCAGGCTGGAGGAGGGCAACCAGCGGGAGTAAAGCTCCTTCCTTACTTCCTCAGCAATCCATCCCTAGCTGCAAACTTCCCCGGATCCTCAGTGTTATAGTCCTGTGGTTAAAGGCCCGTCTGCAACTGCACTTCACCCTCTGTATGTGCCTTGGAGTCTAAGCACAGATGTCACAGCAGGGATTTTGGAATGCATCCTAACCTTAACTACCAGTTCCAGGTGCTAATTCTGTAACCAGCCCAATCCTGTCTTCCTCTATTCCTTGTGGTGGCCAGTGCCTTTGAAATGGGATTCCTCTGAATCATTGGACAGCCCTTTTCATCCAACTCTGGTCCTGAGACATGGCCAAATGCTTATCTCGGCAAACAGCATATGAACACTCACTGAAGAGAGTGATCTAAAGCTCTCTATTCAGTCAGAGCCTTTCAGACAGAAGCTGTCCTCAGGCATAGCCCCCTTACATATTGCAGTTCTTGATTTCTAAAGCCAAAGTCATGTTTGGTCTATCAGAAACTTCACTGGATCTGGACCAAGGGTCCCTAATGGATTCTAAGACCGGTTTAACACCACCTTCTCAATGGCCCTCCACCAGCCCTGTCCTGGTTGCCCATGTGCCCCAGGATTTACCTTAACTGCCACGAGCATCTTGTCTTTGGTGGGGCTTAGATTGTAACACTCAGCCAGGAAGACCTTTCCAAAGGCTCCCTCACCCAGTTCTCTCTTCAACACGATGTCTCTCCTCTTGATGTGCTGGACATCTGTAGAAGCATCACAAAGGGGACAGTCAGGTTCTGTCATCCATCGGGACGGCAGGAATCTAGGGTGCTTCTGAGTACACAATGGGAAGAGCCAAATGTTCCCATCCCAGTTTGGACATGGAGAAGGTCACTTCTTTATGGGTGAAGTCTGTGCCAGACTGGCTGCGGACTACTCTATACCTCAGCTTTCTGAGATGAAGACACAAGCAGTTTGCAATTAGGACAAGGCATGAATCAGTGATGTTCCTGAATGTAGGTGCATGAACTGGGGCACCTTGGCAAGATGCAGGTTCTGATTCAGTGGGCCTGAGTCTCCACATCCCTAGCAAGTCCCCAAGTGATGCCAACGAGCTGTTGGCAGCTCTTTAAGCACCATGGCTGCCAAGGTGGGACTGAGAATCAGATCTGAATCCTGGCTCCTTGCCATTCCTGTTTTATTATTATTTATTTTTTTTTCAGTTTGGGAAAGTTATTTAATCTCAGCACCTCAAATTCCTCATTTGCAAAATGGGGTTAGCAACAATATCTCTCTCACTGGATCCTTGTGAGGAAATGAGATGATCCATAGTAAGAGGTTGGTTCAGTGCCTGGGAGAAACTTAGAAACATGTGCTCAACACACACACACACACACACACGCATATGCACACTCATGCACACATGCAAACACACAAATACATACACATACAAATATAGACAAATACAAATACACACATACACACAAACACAAGCACATCCACACACCCACATATACAAACACACACCCACATACACATAGCCACATATACACACAGGTACATGTACATATTCACATACACATATGCATATATACACATATATACACATACATACACATGCACACATATATGCATATACATCCATAAACACACATATGTATTCACATGTACATACACAAATTTAAACTTACCATGTACATATACAATACATACGCATGCATACACACACATACACACACACACACACACACAGCCCAACAGCACCTTGTTCAGAATTGAAAACACTCATGGGGCATTAAAATTATTTCAGGAAAATCTCTAGTTGGCCAGTACTGCTCCTCCGAGAGAAAGCAAACCAATGAGCTCACAAATGGCAAGTTCAAAGATAGCCTTAGAACTGGGGTCTGTGCAAAGAGAAGAGTCGCCAGTGCCTGTGCTAATTTAGCAACCTAATTAAAGTGTGTCTGCCAGGAGAGAGCAGAGCTGTGACCTCGGCCCTCCCACCCCTTTGGAAAGAATGCTACCAAGGAATTGTCCAAGCAGGGGACTGGTGATGAAGAGGAGTGAGGTGGAGATTACTCACCGACCTTTACATGAATTGTTGAATAGGCAAAGCCCATTAAATGCCTGGATCAACATTATGAAGCATGCCGCCGAGCCAGCAAAGATCCTCTCAAACGACCTTGTCCAACAGTGAAAACTGAAGGTGGAAGGAAGGCGGCAGACTGTCCCCACGTGAGGAGCCATGTGACAGTGACAGAGAGGCGTGGCTAGAAAGCTGGACCTAGTGGCCTGGTATGTTTGGGTACTGCTTTTTCCTACCAGAGTTCAATATCCCACAGGGTCTGGAGTGAGCTACCCCTATTCCCTTCTCCCTTACAGGCAGGCTTCAACAACAGGTGGATAAAAAGTTTCCTAGCCTGGAGGGATGGCTCAGCTACTCAGGCCTCTTCTTGCTCTGCATCCCTGTCTCTATCTTGTAGACTCTGGAGAGTGGTATATTTTTGGCCCTGGGGGATAAGATTAAAAGGTATCACTGAGAAGTCAGGGGAAAGCCATCTTCTCACCACTGCCTAGTCATTCCCAGGTGGCTAGAGATGACACATAGAGCACCGCAAACTGAGTGACCTCTCAAGGCCAGCGAGTGAGATGTGGCCTGGCAAGACAGCTTTCCAGCCAGAGGTCAGGCCTCACATTCCTCATCTATAAAATGGATATATTCCCACAGCTGGGTGTAGAAGTCTATAAACATTTGAATTGTAGAACTCTGTCTTTTTGTGAACCACATGACTATTGTGATCTTGAAATCACAGTGACTGTGACTCACAACATCTTCCTGTCAGGCTAGGGAGATGTCTCGGTGAATAAGGCATGTGCTGTGCAAGGGCAAGGACTGGAGTTGGGATCCCCAGGTCGGGCCAGTTGCAGTAGCTGTGTATGTAATCTTAAGTTCCTGTAATGAGACTCGAGGCAGAGAATATACCTATAAGCTTGTGGGCAAATCATCCTAGTATATACAGTAACAAACCAGGAGGCCACCAATCAAAAGATGTCCTCTGATCGCTACACACACACTGAGGCATGAGCATGCACTCATATACACACTTGTATCATGTGCACAAGTATATGTGTATGCATGCATGCACATACATACACACAGGGGGGGAGGGAGGGAGATCAGTCTAATTATTATTTCCTTATAGAGGGGTTGGGGATATCATCAGACTCACCTGAGATTTCAGGCCTTCTCTCCTCCCTGCATCCACTCTAGCTACATGTAATCCTTCCAGCTACCCATTCTCTTAGAAGGTGCTAACATGTGTAGATGAGGTAGGAGTTTTTGGTGATACAACTGGTTTTGAGTAACTCATATTACTGTAACTCTAACATTCATTTGCCAAGCTGGCCCAGGTCTGTTATCGGTATGCTACCCTAGGTGAACAGATGTCTGTTGGCCTATCTCTCCCCAGGAATGTAATGCAATAAACTTATTCAAATTGTAAATAAGGTAAAATACCATTTTCATCATGGTTGGTATTTAAAAGAAGGTGAAATGAAAGCCTAGCCACATCTCCCCCAGGTGCTGAGATGAGCATGGCATCCAGCATGCAAAGATGTGCCAGAGTAGCCAGACTCTTGATGAAAAGCCAAGTTTGCAGTCAATCCTGTTCTTAACCTCCTTCTCAGTTATCAATGGGCAGTCCCCTCAAAATCATCCAGAGAGTTTGTTAAGAACAGACCACTGGCCGGGCGGTAGTGGCGCACGCCTTTAATCCCAGCACTCGGGAGGCAGAGGCAGGCGGATCTCTGTGAGTTCGAGGCTGGGCTGGACCGATAGCCTCCAAAACGATACAGAGAAACCCTGTCTCGTAAAAAAAAAAAAAAAAAAAAGAACAGACCACTGGGCACCGACCCCAGAGACTACCATCTGGTATATCCATCTTGAGTCTTGGGGATACATATCCCTGTGTTCCCAGATGATGTTGACATTGCTGATCTAGGAAGCATACTCTGAGGACCACTGGAACACGATGTGTTTTGTGCAGTGAGAGGTTAGCTAACTGAGAAACCAGCCATCTCCACAGGTTGGACTTGACAAGCACCATGCCTACCACAGGTCAATCACACCTCATCTCCAGAAGACCAGGAGAAGGTCATGGATCCCGGATTAACTTCAAAGCCCTTCTTGCCCTTGCAAGCTAGATGGCTTAGGCTGAATCAACCATTTGAAGAAACTGAGCTGCCTACCTATGCTCTAGAGACCAAGTCTCTTTGGCTTTCTTGTGTTTTAGAAAGGCAAAGCAGTGGGGAAACTTTTCTCTGGTCCCTAAGTCCAGCTGTGAGTTAGTTATCATCAGAATTTCCCACTCTCAGCAATAGTAAGTGCAAAATGAGAGAGCTGGGGAGCTTTAGAAAGAGCTGGACTCCCCTTTTCAGCTGCTAAGCCTGGGTCATGTCTGAAAACCCTGCTTTTCCTCCTCCCTCCCTAGGCAGCAAGGGCCCAGGGCTTTGAAAGATTCAGAGACGCAGGAATGGCTTTCTACCCTTGTGTTGAGAGCCTGGGGTCTTTTTCAGACTTCTTGCTGGTGGTGGTGTGAGCATGGCAGCTGTGGGATTTGAATCAGGCAGGGGGTAGGTGAGCACACTGTAAGAAAATCCCTCTCCTACTCTCCACAGGAATATGGACAAGGCAGGCCAGAGCCTAGCATGGGACAAAGCATTTTGCTTAAACATACAAACCAAGGAAATGCCAATGACTCAGAGTAGTCTCCTTGTTTCATCCTCTTGTCTTCACAGTAAGGGAGTTTAAAATCAATGTATATGTTCATCCCTGGTCAAGTGGAAAGAACTAGGAAAGTGAGAAGGAGTCACAAATAAAAGTGGGATTTCATCCCACCCCAAATTCTTCTCCAATAAAGAATGAATTCCTGGAAACGGGGACAAGAAGCCCCACAAGGTGAATGGAAAGCTTTGGCAGAGAAACACTGAGTAGAAGCCAAATGAGTGGCACAAATCCCTTCCATGTGGACACTCCCATGTACCAAGGAGGTTGGACTCCAAAATGCAGTCTCAGCTGTTCTTTCTCTGAACTCACATACGGAGAAGTGAAGCAAAGGGAACATGCACATGGCCAGTCCTACGACGTGTCCAGTGTTCATTCTCAAAAGGACCTGAGAGTAACTGAACTCCTTTCACAGATAAAATGAAGGTTGTGATACCCTTCAGAATTCAGAGATAAGCCATCGCCAAGAAAAGCTTTTCCTTGTAGGGATTCCACAGCCTCTGTTCTTTCCTCTCCATCCTTTCCTTACCTGGTCCTAAGTTTATAGCCACCAAAATGGTTCTGTCCAAATATTAATTCTCCAGTATCCACCGTATTCTCCCGCACTGCTCATCCTGAGACTCTTTTACAACATTGTCCCAATGGCAGAAGCAGGAGCCTCCCACTGGTCACCATTCAGAACCCTCCAAGCTCTGGGAAGTGTATGGATGGGGGGGAGTATGGAATTGGGTGACCCTGAGGACTGACCTAGAGTTTCACTTCTGACATCTGCATGCCTATTTGGGCCTCTTCTCTGCTTATTTTTAGTTCCCATCAGCCTGTGGCTGGTGAAGTCATCTGACCCATGATGGTTTCTCATGAAGCTGAGAGTTTGGAATGCTGGAAGGGGAGAGGAGAAAAGAGTAATGCATAGATGGGATGTGGGGAAATGTCCTATTTTCTTTAAGGAAAGGGATGATGAGGAAGTATGGGCTAGTATAT